AGTGTGAACACACTGATATAAAAGGATCTCACGTCATTTGGTAGAGAAGGTGGCATATATACAAGGCCCCATCCTTCTACCGCCTTCTTTATGGGCCTCACAATCTTACCTCTAGCATCATAATCTTAACAACTGCTATCTATCAACATCCTACCTTGAAAACATTTTTTAGAGTATAACACATTTTGAGAACATGCTCAGATACCCTTTGCACCCGTTAAGTTAGTAAATCCCTTACTAACCCAGGCATCTCACCTCTATCCCCCAATCACATTCTTGGTATCCTGAGTCCTTGCCTATCTAGGAGGGACATCAGACAGAAATCTAAGCCAAAGGGCAGTGTGGAATTTCGGGCAGAGAATGAGGCCGTTAGGAAGAGTAAGAAGAGTTGAAGTTTTTCCCTTCGTGTCTCAAATCATAGCAAGTCACCTGCTCCATCTGTGACTGCCATGCCGGGGAGATGGTGGCAAACATTCCTCAGGAAGGGGGTATGAGGACATTTCCTAAGCACTGTGTCTTTAAGTGCATTGGGCCAGAAGGAAGCTGTGTGGCTGGGTGGTTTCAAAATGTACTGGGGCAGAAGGCAGAACTTCTTTTCAAATTCCTAAGCATAACTGGCTTCCTGGATATCACCCCCTGGGAGCTGATGGCGGCAGAAGAAACCCTGCCTGAGAGTATTTTGAGCCACAGCAGGCTTATAAGTTTGACCAAAAAAAGAATTTTCAAAATAAAGATATATAACATTTCATGTATACAGCACTTGTTATACGCTAGACACTGTTCTAAGGGTTTTAAGTATAAATACATTTGATTTATCCCCCTACTTTGCAACGGCCTTGCAAAGTAGCTACTATATCTCTGTTTTATAGAAGTGGATGGAGACTGAACCAGAGGCTGAGCGCTTACCCCAGGACACCCAGCTGCGCGTGGCCAGAGCCAGGCTTTGAGCCCAGGCAGCCTCCCTTTGGGGCTTGTGCCCGAGCCACCAGTAATGTTCTCTAAAGGAGCCCCTGCGCAAGACCCTTAATCTGATTAGGGAATATGGCTTTTTTTCAGTAAAGCATAGGGCTCTTTGTCCTTCTTTACTGGAGCAGGAGGGTTGACATCTCAATTCATCACTGAACTTTGGAAAAGTTGCTGCTTCTAAGAATCAACTAATTAGAAAATTGCTCCTGGGTTGATATTTCTATTCTCAAACCAGTTTCTCTTTTTCTGTGTCTTCCAGTATTATGTATACAATACTCACATATACATGTTATGTGTATATGTGTATATAACAAGAAACATGAATGTATGTTTGTACTCCCAATTCAGAACATGTTGATTACATAATGGGTATGCAAAACAAAATAAGAAAAAGCTTTGGAAATTAAAGAATAAACACAGGAGGAATTTCCCTCAAAGCTGAATAAACACAATAATCCTCAGAGACACAGCCACTAGTACTTAAATAAATAAAAGATGATAAACAAATGAAAGAGAACAATAAACACAGGGCATGTGACTTAGCTGGGTGGAAATTTGCTTTGCTAGAAGTTAAGCGATGGACTGACATTGGGTATTGATGCACAGAACACTTATAATTGCAGTTCACTGCCAATGAACACCGGGCATTTGCCTACAGTGGACATTGCCGCCAGTGGACATTTTCCCTTTGTGAATATTGATCATTGGTGGAAGCTATCATTCATATGAAAAACATTAGGTATCAATGGACATTTGCATCTTGGTGAACATTAGCCATCAAGGAACAAGGAACATTGATGGGCAAGGCCATATTAGCCTATGATGGCTTCTGTTGTTATAGACATTGCCCTTGGTGGACATTAGGTATGAGTGGACTTTAGCACTGGTAGACTTTTAATTCTGTAAACACATAAAGTAAGCAGAGGGTAGGTCTCTGCCGCCATATTCCTGGAAGTCTTGTCTAGAGAAACATCCTATGAGCTGGTTTGGTGGTAGTTGGGTGGTAGTATCTGCCTCTACATCTGCTCTTTTCCTCCGAAAGCCCTTTGGACATGGCAAGGGGTTATGTGATAACGATAGAGGGAAATTCCTGCATTTGAAAGAGTCTAATCATCTGCCTGAACTACAGAGGGGCTGGATTATACACAAATCCACACAGGCTCTCTTCCGCCATCCTGACCAGCAATGGGTGTTTGTCTCTTCTTTCTCTATAAATGCGATGACCAAATCACAGCAGGCCTGGCTTCATGGGCAATGAAACCTTAGAAGGACCCTGTGCTTGGTTTAATGCTCTGTTCTTGCCATCTTTAAATTCTTAAATAACTTTTGAACAGAGTGCCCCATATTTTCATTTTGCACTAGGCCCCACAAATTATGCAGCCAGTTCTGAAGCACAGAGGCCTGGCCACTTGCCATGGGAACTTGGGCTGCTCCTTTCTGGGCCTCAGTCTCTTCGTCTGTGAAAAGGGACCAAGAGAGCAAGGACTTTGACCTTGACATTTGGTTTTTTATGCTCTAGGATTTAGAATCAAAACGGCCTGATTAGAGATATTTAGAGTGGTGTAACTTCCCCAATTTATTTGACACAGAAAAATAAACGGAATCCCAGTGCTCTTTGGTTTCTCAGATCACCTCCATCCTCTCTGATTCATGGGATCTGCACAGCTGGCCTGGCGCTTGAGATAGGACAGGCAAGAAAGAATAAGGGAACTGCCATCTGACAGATGAAGCCAGGCCTAGGTAGGTTTTCTCATCTGTATGGTGACAAAAATACCTGGTGTGGTTGTGAGGAGGAAATGATGGCATGCACACAAAGCATGAGTAACAGAATATATGCTTAGTAAGTGGCAGTGCTTTATTATATTAATAGAATGCAAGGACATGTTTGTGACCCTGCCTGACCACGATGGCAAACCAGGCCTCACGTGTGTCCTCCTCTCTAAAAGTCAACTGGCATAGCTGAATGCCTGTTCCATGTTGGGCACATAGGAGCCAAGATTCTACACGTTAAAGACTGTTGTTCTGAGAGTCTGCAATCCTAAAGCTTTAGGAAATTCTTCAGTTCTGAGTGAGTCACCAAATATGGCTCTGAGACTACATGTTCTGTAATCTACTTCCTAATTCTGTGGTTGAATGAGGGAGGGAAAGGGCCCTTATGGGGTGCTTATTTTGTGCTGGGCACCGTACCTGGTTCTCTCCAAATGTTATTTCATTTTCTTTTCATGCAATCCTGTTGGGGGGGTATTTTCATCCTCATTTTCCAGGCCCAGAGAAGTAAAGTGACTTGGCCAAAGTCACACAATTGGTTTGTGATGGACCCAGGATTTCACCCTTTTCTGTGAATTCCAAAATGGAATCTGTGCACGAATCTTTGTGATTCTGTAGGATTCTAACGCCCCTATTCTAGGTGCCAGGATTCCTGGAGGGCAGAGTATGGCAGGACGAGGGTGATCTGACTGGCTGGGAGGGGAGGAGGGGAGGAGGAACCTGGGCTTTGCTCCGGGCGCTCGCTCCGACCTGGGGTGTCTGGCCACGCGTGACCACGAGGTGGCGCTGCGGCCCAGGACCGCCGCACTGGGCCAGAGAGGCCATCTGGACGCCCCCGGCCGGCGAGGGCCACGGCCCCGCGGGGCTTCGGATCTCCATAAGGCAGCAGGGGGCCAGGGCTGGGGGGTTGCGGTAATGCCCCCACCCGGAAGGATGAGCCTGCACAGTGTGATGGCGTCCGCACCCACCCTCCTACTGAGCTGCTCCCCTGCCCTGTTTTGCGCATGAGGAAGCTGCAGCTCAGGGCAGAGGTGATCTGCCCCCAGCTCACTCCTGCAGAGCCCCTGCCTACCCTTCTCAGCCTTCCACTCGCTATGTCCCTGTCTTTAAGACCCTTATGTTCCATGGCCCTCCCCCAAGGACACCTTCCACAGGTGAGGACCCAGACGCATTGGGTGAAAATATTGTGCTACCTCCCTGACCTCTGCATTTGAAGCCTCTCTTGCTCCAGGGAATGTGGGAGGGGTGGAGAAAAATTGGAGGACTGTGGGGCCTGGGATCTCACCCTGACCCCGCAACCCCCTCCCCCATGCCCCATACCTCAGCTCTTTCTTAGTGGCAGGTGACAACCCTGGGCTCAGGGCTCTGGTTGGTACTCTCCCTGGGAAGGCCTGATTTACAAGATGGTCAAGCTCCCCACTGATGCCCATGGCCTGAATGTTCTGGGCTCTGTGCCATTGACTCCTCACCCATGACCTCCCCCAAGTGCCCCCTTTTGTCCAGGCCCTCTAGTCTTTCCCCGCTGTGTGGATGAGCCTCCTCTGGACACCTTCCTCCTCTCCCCTCCAAGGAACATGAGCCCCGCTAAGGCAGAGATTGGGGTGAACTCATGGTATCACGAATAGCCTGTCATTGTTGGGGAAGATGGTGGATATTACTGTAGACTTTGGCCATTTGAGGGAGGAACTTGGTGACAGCAGAGCCACCCAGCTGATCTGAAAGTGAGCTCCCTGTCATTGGAAGGATGCAAACAGGAGCTAGGGTACCATGGCAGCTGAAATGCCAGGGATGAACAAAGTACCGTTGCAGCTCAGAGGTGAGAGGTGGAGGGGGATGTCGGGGAAGCTTCTGAGTTGAGGCAGGAACTAGGATGGGAAGGAGGTTGAGAGGCAGGGGTCGGGGCAAGGGCAAGGTCCCACAGTCACAGCCTGAACAAAGACAGGGCTGTGCATGGGCCCAGCAATCTCATGGCTATGGCTGGATGGCCAGTGGCTGGGGTTGGGAGGCTGAGGCTGAGGTTGGAGAGGGGAGATGAGAATGGTGGGCAGGATGCAGGATGTGGCGAACGGTCCAGTCCACCTCTGAGTAACTCCCTCCCTCCTGTCACCTTACTCCCCAAATCCTGGGAGATTACTGGGCTTTTTAGAGAGAACAAACTGCCCAGGGCAGGGCCCAACCTGATTCTTCCTTGTGGCCCCACAGCCTGGCCCAGGGGTTGGCAGTGGACGCTGGTGGAATGATGGAAAGAACAACTCTTTATTGTTTATTAAACGGAGGACTAGTCAGGCGCTGGGTTGGGCTGGTGGGGAAGACAGAGCTCTCACTGCCCTGCGGGCATCTCTGTGGGACCAGCCTCCCCCCCCACCCAGAGCCCACATGGCCACTGATGGCTGGCTTCCGCCCAACACCCCCAACACATGCCCAGGACACAATATTACAAAAGTGAACAAATGTGACCTTTTTCTTCTTTTACAAATGACATATTTCCATCCCCTGCCAGCAGGGGTGGGGCATGGGGGTTGAAAGTGTCAGTCCATTAAAAAGGCAGCAACTTTTATAAAAGGAAGGCTAAGGAAAGGGCCCAGGGCTGGGAAGCTGAGATGCCACCCTGGGGATGGAGCATAAACATGGGTTGGGGAGACCCTGCCTCCTGCTGCTGCATCCCTGGGAGGGTGGGAGGGTGAGCCGGGCTGTTGGGCTCAGGGCCAGTGAATCCAGGAGGCCCTTGGAGTCACGACCAGACAGGGCTCCAGGACTGCATCAACTCCCCTGGGGGAGCAGCTAGAGGCAGTGTCTCAGGGAAAACAGGTACATTTCCAGTCTTGATGTGATGTTGGGGGACCTCACCCCCGAGCGAGGAACTGGCAGGGCTGGGAACTAAATGCCCTAAGCCTCCAGAGGCTGCGACAGGTGAGCCGACTATGTGATACAGCCGGTCACTGCGCCCAGAGACCCACTTTCAAGGCCCTTGCCTGTCCTGCAGCTGCTGCTCCTGGGGATGACAGGGAAAGGGCACAAATGATGGGAAGGGGGAGCCTAGGAAGGGGAGGACTTATTAGAGAAGACAGGAAAGGGCAAAGGACCTGGGCTGGAAGGCAGGACAGTGAGTCCCTGACATGCCTCTGCCACTGGAGGAACTCAGATTAACATTTTTCCTTCCCTAGGCCTCTGTTTCTCCATCTGTCCCATGAGGAGGATGGATTTGATTTTCTCTCCAGTTCCTTCTGTAATTAAGGTTATACCCAGGGTTCCAGGGGAAGAGAAAAGGATGAAGCAGCCTCATGGGCCCAGAGCAAAGGGGCTATGTCATAAAAGAAACTCATGCCTCTGAGTGACGGACCGTGGGCCCGAAGGGGATGCTCAGCCCCGTGGACCTGAACTCTGCCCTGCAGTGGCAGCTCCTGCCCACCCTCCTCCTTTCGTGGGTCAGGTCGGGCCAGGCATGTGAGAAGGCACTTGGGGGACAAGTGGGGAAGGGCAGCAGGAAGGGACCAGAGTCTGGTTTGGCACTGAAGTCCCTTTGCTCATGGTTTGAGGGGGCAACATAGACAAAGGGGCAAGACTTTGCTCCTGAGTGTTGGTCCTAGGTCCAAAGCCTCTCCTAGGTCCACACCTCCTGCGCTGATGCCGCCACACACGCTTGTAGATTCCCCACTGGCACTGGCACGTTAAAATATAAGTTACTCAGGACCTGAGCAAGCCCAGGGCGGCAGTCTGTCATGGGGCCCCAGGCCATACCATTTGTCACAAGATGTCAGAGCTCCTGGCAGCAGATTCCCGAGTATCTACACAGTGCAGGGCTACCTTGGGGCTGGAGCCAGGCTGTCGGGGATAGGCACCCTCCCGCACCACGCGCCGGCACCGCACATCCTGGCCCACGCTGACGCTCTGCAACGCTGGGAGATGGAGCAGCAGCATCTCAGGCAAGGGTACCAAGCCAGTGCCCGAAAGGTCCAGCTCCTGCAGGGAGCCCAGGCCCGAGAACACCTCAGTCCCTGCCCACTTGAGCTTGGGGTTGTTCGACAGGTCCAGAACCTGCAGGCCCGGCAGCTCGCGGAAGCTATAGGGTGCCAGCTGGGGGAGCCTCTGCAGGCTGGCCAGCGACAGGTGTGTAAGGCCCGCCAGCCCCGCGAAGGCACCTGGGCCGATGGCAGCCAGGGGGTTCCCATCCAGGCTCAGGTAGCGCAGGGGCAAGCCTTGGAGGTCGGGCACGGTGTGGAGCCGGTTCCAGCTCAGGTTCAGGCTCTGAATGGTGGGCGCGGGCCGGGCGGCCCCCGCGGGGTAGGGCACGAGGCGGTGAATGAGGTTGTGGGAGAGGTCCACGTGCAGTGCCCGGCTCTGGCTGTGGGTAGTGAAGGCAGACACTGAGACCTCCCGGAGCCGGTTGTGGCTAAGGTTCACGTCACTCAGGGGTGAACTGGTGAAGCTGTTGGCCGGCAGGGCCGCCAGGCCATTATGGCTGAGGTCGAGCGACTCCAGGTAGCGAAGGCGGGAGAAGGTGGTGGGCGAGATGCTGGTGAGCAGGTTGTGGCTGAGATCCAGGCCAGCAAGCGTGGTATAGCCTGGCCCCGCCAACACCGACTCATTCACCGTCTCCAGCCGGTTGGAAGACAGGTCCAGGTGGGCCGTGTCCAGGGGGATGGGCACGGGCACGATGTGGGGGCCCAGGCCGCTGCAGTCCACCTGAGTCAGGCTGAAGCTGTCGAAGAGGCCGAAGGTCTCCACCTCACACTGGCACCCGGGGAAGCATGGCCGGGTTGTCTGGGCTCCACTCACGGCCAGCAGTAGCAGCAGCAGGGGCCACGGCATGGTGGAGGCTAGAAAGAGAGCCACAGGTGAGGTGTGACAGATGGTTCTAACCCCACCCCATGAGACAGGTGCCAATGTGTCTAGACACAGCTGAAAGTTGTCACAGTCCTGTCCTGGAGTGTTTCCTGGAGTACTGCTCCTCATAATTCCTAGTCCCTGCTGCCCCCAGGCCTCACTCTCCCCACTTGTATGGTAAAGAGGGTTAGGCCAGATCGGTGGAGTTTTTCACTGGAGCAGCAGAACCCTTTCCTACATAAGATCAGCAGACGGAGGCGGCCTGCTCTGGCCGGGGTTGGGGGACCTGGAGCCCTCCATGCCTGCGCACCATCCCTGCCGTAGGGTGTTAAGGAACCCAGTTCCACTGGACTAGGTGGCTTCTTGGGCTGGCCTAGACCCAGGCCCCACCAGGGCGGGGCTTGCATCGTAGGGGTTAGGGTTAGGGTTAGGGTGCTCCGTTCTCCTGGGCCGAGCTCCTGTTACGTGCTGGGTGCTGTGCTAGCTGTCTCACAGCACGGTCTCAGTTAACCCTCACAACCACCCTGGAAATCAGAAATTTCTTTCTCCGTTTCCCTGAGAGGGAACTGAGCCCTAGGTCAAGAAACTTTCACACAGCCAAGCAGCTAAGTGGAGTGGCACTGGACGGGGCACAGAGGAGGCGTGACCCACTGTTGCAGCCTGGCAGTGGCTGAGCCAGGCCTGAGCCCCACACTCCAGCCTTCTAGACCAGGGCTCTCTCCTGGCAGTGGGGCCTGCAGTGACTGCCCCACCTCCCCCAACCCCCACCCCCTTAGCCGGGCCTCCAGAGGAGGGATCCTCCCTTTTAATTGGGGACCTTGTGTCTAGATGCCCAGATGGGCTCTGGGGATACCTGTCCCAAGTTCCTTTCCCCCTTCCCTTTCCCCTACTCCCAGCTGATACAGGTCTTACACCTCTTTGGCCTGTCCTTTATCCTTGGTCAGCCAGCTGGCTGGTTCCCCCATTACACAGATGAAGAAACAGAGGCTCAGAGAGGAAAAGGGCCTTACCTCAAACTATTATAGTAAAAAGCAGGACAGGATTAGAACCCAGGCCCAGTCAATTCTAATTCTTTTATTCACATCTGCTGCCTCCAGCAGGCCTGGCAGGGTGGCTGGTGGAGAGACGGGGTCCAGCAGGGGCTTTTCTCCCTGACGCATGCTATGACACAAGGCACTTCCCCTCCCTGGACCTCGGTTTCCCTCCCTACAATTACAATGGTAGCTGCCACAGATGCCAGGCACTATGCCTATGCCTATATTGTCACATCTAATGGTCACAGCCGCCCACAACTCTGTTGGACTCAAAGCCTGTGTTTATGTCCACTGAAGTTCCTGGGACGGTGGTGCTAGCGTGAGGATGAGAGGGTTGAGTGGTAGGAGCTTCTAACTGGACAGTTTGGAGTCTGTGGCTCCCCGTCCCCTGCACGGCAGCCCCAAGCCTGGGAGATGGGAGCAGGTACTGAGCCTCTGTCCAGGGGGCTCTTCGTCTGGGTGGCCGTGTTCAGTGCTCTGTGCCCCTTGCCCTCCTGCCCAGCCCTCCCACTGGCCTTGGGGAAGCGGGTGGGGAGAGGGAGCGGCGGGTGGGGAGGGAGCAGCAGGATAGCATTACCAGCCCCACATGAAACTTTAAAGGACTAGCCACTTGATCTGCACTCTGCTGTGCCTGGGGGCAGGGAGAAGTGGGGCTCTTCTCCCCTTCCCTCTCCATGTGGTCCCTCCTCTCCCACTCCTTTCTTTTGTAGAGGCCAATTTGAGGATTAAACCCAGCCCAGGTGCATGCTGGGCTTGGTCCCAGCTGAGGCGGGACAGAATGTTCCAATGTCTGGAACCAAAAGGAAAATATTAAGTTGCTTCAGGCCCCCTTTGTTCCCCTGGGTGAGCTCCTCACTGCAGGGTTCGTTACCACTAGAGGCCCCACCTCCCCTGCTAAGCCGATCTGCTCACATCCACCCTTCCTGGGGTTTAAACAAACACCACAAAAGGCCCCCAGATTACCTTTTGGCTCCCAGAGGTGATTGTACAAGGGGCCTGTGAAACGCCAACCGCCTCTCAGGAGCTCAGCTTATGTAACTGGCAGTGCAAGCCCAGCCCAAATGCTGCCCGCCAGAGGGGGCCTCTCCCTGTCCTCTCTAGGCCTCAGCCTTGTCCTCTGCACCATCGGGTGGCAATTTCTGCCCTGCCCTCCTCACTTAAGTTGATTAGCCATCACCAAATGCGCTGCCAGCTGTGAGGAGCTGTGCGCAAGCGCAGGGTGGCCATCGCCGGGCGGCCGGCAGATGTAGAACTGAGGCAGTGGTGGTAACAGCTGGTGTCAAGGGGGCGAGTATAGGTGGGGACCCACCTGGAAAACTGCACATAAATGCCCCCAGGGCACTGGACCAGGCTCCCTGCTCAGCCTTGCAGGGTGGACACCTCTCCTGGGGCCCCTGCTCTATGCCAGGCCTGTGCCCAGGGCTGGGCCTTTGCAGTGGGAAGCGCCAGCAGTGACAGAGCCAGGCCCCACTGTGTACGGGTGCTGGACACACACTCTCTCGTTCCATCCACAAGGCCAGCAGCCTCATCCCCATTTCAGAGTAGAGGAACTGAGGCTCAGAACAGAAGGTGGCAGAGCCACCTTGACCAAGAGTCACTGGCTAAACTGTGCAACTCTGGGAAGTTAGGGGTGAGTTAAAATGGATAACAACCCCTTCCTCAAGGAGCTGCTGTGAGGATTAGAGGTCACAGGCGTAAGATGCCAGCACAGCACCAGGACACCGACAGGCGCACAGTCAGTAGGTAGATGGGGTCCCCCAGACAGGGAACACAGGACCAACCCCCGCCTCCTTCACCACACCCCACACAGTGGTGCTGACAGGGAGGTGGCAGGGCAACTGTGCACGGTAACGAGACAAGTCCTGGAGGACACTCAGGAGCCCTAGGTCATAGTCCCTCCCTGCTCTGCGGGGAGCTGTCCCCATCCCCTCCCCTCTCAGCCTCAGTTTCTCCAGCTTCACAATGAGAGGTTTAGTTTAGATGATCCAACTCCAGAGTTTCAGGATTTTAAAATTTAGCAAAAGCATTTACTAAATTTCTGCTAAGTACATACAAAGCACTGGGCTAGGCCATGTTGGTGGCGGGTGAGGGAATGGCTACCAGGGCCCCTGTCCTCATGGGGCTTACGGACCAGCAATGGGGACAAAGGACCAACTCACAACAAGATCACTAACACCAGCTCTGGGCTCAGGAGACTGGGACTCTAGTCCCAGGTCTGCCACTATCTGTGTGGCTTTTGCAGTTTTCTTTATTTCTTTGAGCCTCTGGGACCCACACTCTACTCTTGGGAAAAAGGGAACGGAGGACAGATGGCCACTAAAGAAGGCTGAAGGAGGAAAGGGATCTTTGGGCCAAGATTCATCACTTTCCTCCAAACGCTGACCTGCAGATAAAAGACATCCACTGATCAACCAGGTTCCAGAACACAAGGACAGGAGGACAAGGGCTTGGAAACTGCACCCACCCGTGGTTTGGGGGAACATCTTGTTAGGTCCTCCAGGGCAGGTGCCCTGAGTTATGCACCTTTGGGACCACAGGGTCAGGTCCATGGTGACTCTTAGGAAAGTTTGCTGATGGCCTGTGAGGACAAAAGAGTAAATGGTGTGGTCTTAAGAGGCTCCAGGCAGGTGTCCCCATGTGATACCCCAGACCCTGCTATGAGACACCTCTTTCAACAGCTTTGGCCGCATCACTCCCCATATCAAAAACCTTTCAGGTTCTGCTTTCACCTACAGAAATCAAATTTTCCTGGGCACGGAGGCACCTGCAAGTCGTTACCACTTTCCCCTCTACCCCTTAGTCTGCCATCTGGGTTTGAACCCCCTTTGGTAGCCAGAGTGGAAACAGCCTTTACTTTGATGACCTCTGAACCACTCTCAGCCTCTGCTCACACTTCTCCAAAGTTGGAGAATTCCCGAGCTAAGGAGCGGGAAGGCTCCTTGGAGATCATAAGTGACTAGGGCCCAGAGAGGGGCAGTGACGGCAAGAAATGGCAGAGCAGGACGCCTCATGCTGCTGCCAGCACCACACGCACCCACCTGGCCTGCCCGGCCCCACCAGCAGAACAAAGCCTGTTCTGTCCACGCGGTCTCCTGGGCCACCCCTCCCTCCCGGACTGTCACACTACGGGCTACTGGACACACACCGAGTAATTCTCTATGATTATCTGTGATTATTTACCGGCTGTTTCTGACTGGTGTGAGCAGCTTGGGGCAGTGCCCTGCCTTCCCCTATCTGGGGTCAGAGCAAGGCCCAGCCAGCTGTGCAGAGAAGAACCAGACAAGTAAGAGCCCAGCAGGTAAGGGTCAAAGCTGGCCCCAGACCTGGGTGTGAATCTGCTCTGTACCAACTAGCCTTGTGCAAGTCTCAACCTCCTTGTGTCCCAGTGTCCTCCACAGGGGTAAGAACTCAGGGTTGCCACAAGGATTAAATGACACAATGTGACACATTCTGCTCACTCTCTGCAACACGTTAAGGGCTCAGTGCATGGTAGACAATGATGGTGATGATTTATTAAGCTTCCTGAAAGCAACGACTGTGTGATTCTTCATGTTCCTCCCTACCCAATTTCCCAGTGCTGTGCCAGGCGCCCAGCAGGTCCACGACTGCTTGTGCTAATACTCTCCCGTCACTTCTGGGGTTAGGGGCACCAGCTTGGGCCCTCCTGGCCCCAGCTGCCTGCCGCCCTGTGGTGCTGCACCATGGCATCTCAGGCCCCCGGACTTTTCCAGCCCCTCCCCACCCTAACTTCAACAGGAAGCCCCCGGCAAGGGGCCCCAGCACTGAGACAGGCCTTTGCCTCGACCAGCTGCTCCTCAGCGCCGAGCTGCCTCCCACCCTGCTCCCTCAGTCATGAGCTCACTCCAGCTGAAGCCAACGAAATCCCCAGGTGGAAGTTTCATAAACGTCCTGCCCTCCAACCACTTAGTCAGTTCTGGAAACGCAAGGCAGAAAGAATTTCAAGGCCAGACTCCCAGAGCCTTGAGGGCCGGCTCTCCCAGCAGGCTCATTAATGCCGCACATCTGGACAAACACATCAGCTCACCACGTACTTCGCCACCAGCATCTCATTTCTGCCTCACCACATCCCTGACTGTGGGGATCACTGTCCCTACTTTGCAAACAAGGAAGCAGACGTTATTCAGTGGGGTAATAGAGGACCCAGGACTCAACCCCAATGTCTTAGCTCTAACTCTGCTCTGCCTCCATTTAACAAACAGACATGTACAGTGACAGCTTGGAGCTGGTCGTGCTGGACTGTAGTTACTTGTTTACCTGTCTGTCCTTCTGTGGGCAGGGATGGGGTCAGGTTCATTTCTATGCCCTTGGAGCTGAGCACTGGGCCTGGCACAGAGCAGGGGTTAGGAAGAGATACCAGGCATTCAGGATACAGCCACCACCCCAAAGGATACCTCTCAACCCTTCCCATGCTTGCTCAACTATTATTTGTTCAGTCACCCTGCAAGATCAGCAGGTTAGATGGCATCATCATACCTATTTTACAGCTTTGTAAAGAAACCCAGAGAAGTTTAGTGATCTGTCCAAAGTCACACAGCCAATAAGGACAAGGGCTGGACTCAGGACTCAGGTATTGTGACACCCAGAGCCTGGCCTTCTCCATGACATGAACCCTGGTGCAGGTGGGACCTGGAAGCCCAGCAGCCTCACCCAGGGAAGGTAATCTACAGGGAGATGGGCAAGGTCCCCAATACTGTTTTTTGCCTTCCAAGATGTCTTCTTCCTGAAGATTTTCAAGTTCCTGTCAATGTGAGGTAGCAGGTGTGGACACAGGGGGAGGCAGTATGGGGCAGAGGAAAGGGATTTGTAGCCAAGTGGACTGGGTTCCAACCCTACAGGCCTCAACCGCCATGAGGCTTGCATGTACCCTTGCCCCTGAGTCTGAGTCTGCACCTGTAACGTGGTGATAATCCGAGATTGTTCCCAGTGGATCACTGCCAGGATTACATGAGGTAAGTGAAGACTCAGCCCAGGGTCTGGCACATGTTGGTGCTCACTGCATATTGGTTTCTGCCCCCTAATGGGTGATTTCGTGGCCAGGGAAGAAAAAGGAGCTGTGACACCAGCAGATCCTAAGGCAAGGCAGGGGCAGAGGATGGAGAATCCACACTTCATCCCCAGAGGCCTTGGATTCCTTCTCAACACACCATCCTGGGCACCATCCCAGGCCCCAATGGGACTCCGAGGTGCTGACCAGGCCCACCCAGGGAATTGGGAAGGAGATTGCTGAAGCTTCCAGAGGCCAAAGCAGGCTGAAGCAGTTGTGTTGCCCGTGACAGAATGAGGGCTTGGTGTTAAATCAGCAGCTCCCCCTGGACAGGTGGGGTTACTGGCTTCCCTCTCCCTCATCCCCAAGCCGGGTCATCACCTCACCCTGCTGGTGGGTTCAGGAGGCCCCTTGCTTCCAACTGCCAGCCATGCTGGGCACCAGAATGCACTTCCCAGTGAAGACTGGGACCTACCATTGCTCTCTCTTTAAAGCCCATTCCACAAAGAGAGCTTTCCAGTCTAGAGAGCTAGCACTCTGCTAGCGCCCCCTGCCTTTGCACAGGCTGCTCCCTCTGAGGAAGATGACAAAGATACCCTTCTTTTCTTTGTCTACAATGTAAACTCACTCACTTGATTCAAAAGCCACTTTCTTTGTGAGGCTTTCCCAGTCTAACTCACCCCTCTTCCTGCAAAGGGTCACCTTCCCTCTGGGTTCCCATGGTCCCTGGGCTGCCCCCACCCACTTTGTGGTCTGTGGCCACCTACAAATTTGTGCCTAGCTCCTTGTCTGCACGAGGCCTGGCCATGTGAAGGGCGATAAACCAGATGAATGAAATGTCATAGACAGAAAGCTTCCTTCTGCTTTGGGGGGAACATAACAATTGGCCCAACCTTGCAGGACACTTAGGGCTTTGCCAGGTGGTGAAATCAGGTTTAGGACCAGAGTAGATGCTGTCTCTCCCTTCTAGCATCAGTGCAATCCAAAAAATGTCTGCCCGATGTAATACACACTACAAACTACTTCTCATTTTATTAGTACCTGTAATTCATTATCCTGTTTAATATTCACAACAGATCAGTAGGGCAGGAATTAATATCCTCATTTCAGGAGTGAGGAGACTGAGAATCAGAGAGGTAAAGTTACTTGTCCCAGGCCACACAGGTAGGAAGCAATGGAGCGGGAGTAAAATCTAGATCCTTCTACTCTAAGAGGCTGGAGCACTTGGACTCCAGATTGGTCTCCCAGCCTCTAGCACCGCCAGCAAGCAGAGGAGGGTTTCTTAGAATTACCAACCTCAGCCTACTGTGCCTGTTTAAAACTTCCAGCAGCTCTCCACTGCCTACAGGTTCAAGTCCCAGCTCCTAGGCCTAGCATTCAAAGCCTTGATGATTTGGCCCTGCCTTCCCTCCACGCCTCAAGTTCAATTCCAATTCCCTACCCTTGAGACCTTGTATCTGACAGTCCACCATGCCGAACACCTGTGCTATTTTCATGCACAGGTCCTGGACATGCTGCTCCTTCTGTGGAACTCTTCCTGTCCCCCTGTGTACTCACTGATCTCAAAACCCTGAGCAGGAGGAACCTCCTCTGCCAGGCCCCTCCTGTAGGTCATTCCCATGGATCCTCTCTTAGAAGTTGCTTTGGTCAGGGGGCTTCCAGCGGGGGCCCAGCCCTCTTCAGGGAATATCCTCAGTGCCCAGACCAGCATTGCCCTGAGAAAGGATGAGTGGAAATTTGAAGTGTGTCCCTTGTTTAGAATCATAAATTATGATTAAGAAGAAAATTAATCTGGGCTCTACTCATCACAATCTGTCATTTAAAAGGGGGAAAAAACGTCAATCCCTTCCCTTCCCTCCATTTTTGACTCACTCATCAGCTTTTGCCTTACAGCCTGGTGTTGGAGGAAGGGTAGGTGGGAGCCTTGTGGACTCCAGCCTTCCCTTCCTCAGGAGCAAATTATTGCCCGGGAATTGGTCAAGTCAGAATGGAAGTGTATGTTAAACATCAAGGAGTTCCAGTCAGAACAGAAAGAAACCAGAAAGGCTGTCAATAACGCCCATTCCAGAAGGGAAACTGAGGCGGGAGAGGAAAAGGAAGTGCCCATGGTTGCCCCCTTCCCAGATTAGTGGCCTGTGACCCTCCCTCATGTCCGTAGCATCTGGCAAAGTTCTAGCTTAAAGACTGGGATGGTACTCGGGAGGCTGAGGTGAAAGGATCGCTGGAGGCTAGGAGTTCGAGGTTTCAAAAAAAAAAAAAAAGAAAAAAAGAACACTGGGTGGGGTGGGAGGTGGGGAGGAAGTATTTAGGGTTATCTTTGTATCTTTGCCACCCAGGCTCAAAGCCCAGCAGGCTCCTGCCGCTCTGAGCCCTCCCTCTCCCGTCAGTCCCCCAGCTCTGCAAGTTTAGACTTATCCGAAGGGCAGAGCGTACGGCTAGGAAGGAAGGATCGAAGAAGTTCCTGAGTCACCTCCTCGCCGGGCCAAATGTGGGCGGGCGCTGCTCTCCGCTCCGCTCTTGCAGCGCTGGTTGTCCCTACCGCACGTTCCTCGCAGCAAGGGAGTTCTCACCCCATCCATAACAGGGTGATCGCGACTTAGCGAGCCTGAGCAACTTGCCGGGGCCACACAGGGGGCCGGTGGCCCTCCCATTTGAAACTAGTGTGCTACGTCCCACTCCCTGCAGCCCAGCTTGGTGTCCTGCGAGTTGGCACCGCTGGCAGGCCCAGGTCTGGACCAGCCGTTGCCTTCTCACCTACCAAATCGGAGGGCTGGTCCCCCTACCCCAGGGCTGGATGCAGATGGAGAGCGGATCTCAAAGCCGAGTCTGGGGCTGGAGCTGGAGCCGGTCTCTCAGCCAAGCAGACGCGTCTCTTTGGGTCACACGCTCTCTCCAAGAAGCGCAGGGCGAGCAACGCCAACCGCCCACTTCTCTCTCCAGACCCGGGCCAGAGCCCAGGACCAGCCACTTCCCTCCTCCCTCCAAGTCGGGGTCCGCGGGGGTGTCCGCACGCTCCGCCCAGCCCTGACCACGGCCACGCCCCAGGCGCTGCCTATCCCCGACCCACCAATCCCATCCCACGCCCTCGCGGCCCAGGACCTCCGGAGGAGCAAGGCGGGAGGGCTGCCCGCGTCCCCCGGCTGGGCTGCAGTGGGGAGAAAGGGGGCTGTTGCCCGAGGAACCGGGAGAAAAGTTTGAAGCCAAGTCGGGGCCGGGTGGACAGCAAGGGAGTGAGCAGTTGGGCGGCGTCCGGCTCTCGGCGCGCACACACTCCACGGACACCCAATCCAGACACGTCGACAGGCACAGACCACGTACGCGGAGACACAACGATGCGCCCACCGACACCCACAACCAAATGCGGGCCCACGAAACGTGGACACAGGCTCAAAACAAATACGCAAAGCCACGGACACACAAAGGCACAGGTAGATGCACGTCCCCGAACCAAAAGCCACAAAGACCCACAAACGTGAGATGCACGTGTCCGCACAAAGACCCCAGAGGCACTGGCCCACGCCCACGGCCACGGCCCCCGGGCAGAGCCTTTGTCTCCCGAAAGCCCTCTCCCCTGGGTCGGGGCTCCCCACTCCCGCCGAGCTCCAGGCACCCGGCGGCCGCTGCCGTCGCCCAGGGTCCAGAAAAGTTGAGGGGCCTCGGCAGGACCCAGCCCCGCCCCTGCGCCCGGCGCCGCCCGCCTGCCGGATGGCGCGACGAGGTTGGGGTCCGGGGCTCGGGACCTTCGCCCGCAGTGCGGGCTGCCGCTCCGCCCCGGGACCCACACCCACCTGGAAACCTGCGCCGCCGCCGCCTCGGCACGCTCACCCGGGCGGCCCGGCCGCTGGCCCTCCGGCCGGCGCTTTTCTCAGCACAGCGCGGCCCGCCCCCCGTCCCCGCCCGCCGCTGGGCTCCCCCACTGCCCGGCGCCGGGTGGCTGCTCTGGCCGGCCGCCTAGCGGTTCAGGGAGCGTCGCCAAAATGCCGGCCTTTCCCGGCGCGCGGCCGCCCCGCCCCCCGCCCGCCGGCGGAGCCCGCGCCGAGCCCGGGTTCCACCCTAGGGAGCGTCTCGAAAGTGCGCAGCTCCCGCCCGCTCCAGTCGGCCTCGCTCGCTGCTTCCTGCATCCCGGATCCCTGCCTCCTCCCCCTGCGCGCCGAGTGGTCTCAGCTGATGGCCGCACAGTCGGGAACATCTGGAGGTCGCTGGCGTGCGTGTGTGTGTGTGCGTGTGTGTGTGTGTGTGTGTGTGTGTGTGTGTGTAGAAAGCGAATTAGTGATTGGTAAGAAAGAAAAAGACTGGGTGGGTAAGGGTTTCCTCGTCTCGTGTTCGTCGCCCCCGGCCCCTCCCCCTGATTTTTTAAAAGTGTAAAAGAGGTTCAGAGACGTCTATGAGGGAGAGAGCAAGAATCTGAAGCCGCGAAAGACTGGCTGAAAGAAGAACCCACAGAGAGGAGGGAGGCGGGCTCTGGCAGAAAGCTGGCAGGAGAGGAGAGAAAGTCAACAGACTTTTCTTTTCTGGAGGGAACCGTCGCTGCTGGTTGGAGTTCTAAGAAGGGAAACTGCTGTGTGACTAGGCAGCAGTTTCAGTCCATTCCTCCCTCAGCAGCCCGTCTCCTCTCACCCCTCTTTATACTAAAAACAGGCAGGAAAGCATCCAAAAAACTTTTTAAAATGAAGGTTGCATAGAGAAATTACCTGGTAGATGCATTCCCTAGGAGGGGAGAGGTGTGTGTATGTGTGTGTGTGTGTGTGTGAGGCTCCCAGTCCATACACCCAGACGATGCCTGCCTTGGGAGGGGGGCAGTTCTCAGTACCCTGAGAGAATGGCCAGGGGGTTGAAGGAGGCTTTGGTCTCCTGGGACCTCCCAGGAACTTCTCACCCACTTTAGAGAGGGCCCCTGGGTGCAGAGATTTGGTGATATTCCCCCTGCAGTGGGCCAGGGGGAAGACTTGTTACACCCAGTCTTTTTGCTCCTTCTTTCTATATTACTTCTTTGTAATTAAAAAACAAAACAAAACAGTTGCTTGGGTGTGTTTGCACGTGTGCCTATTTGGGTGAGAAGGAAGGCAGGTGGGGAGGTGATGAGGCAGGAATAGAGGCCGCTACCCCAGGCCAGCAAAACCAAACCCAGAGAACTAAGTGGTCATTGCAGGTCCTCCCCCTGTAAAGTCATTGTGTGCTCTTGGGGACTCACCTGGACCGAGATCCATGGACCCTGCAAGTTAGGGAGTTGCAGGGACAAGGCTGGGAGCCTGGTCTTAGCTCTGTGGGAGGAGGGAGAGCTGAAGCTCTCTCCTCTCTGCCATCGTCCTCCCCCAGTTAGAATCCCACGTTCCAAAAGTAGGAGGCCTTCCGGATCATGCAGCTCAGACTCCTCATCAAATAGTCTTTGAACTGGTGCCATAAGCCCCTTTGTATCCAGTGTCTTCCTCACAGTCTGGCTCAATAACGGGGCTGCTGGGATTCAACTCTGCACCCCCTGGGGCCCCCAGGAAGAGTCAGAACCCTCCTGTTCCCCACCCCTCCACCGTTGAGGCTCCCTGCCTGGATGGGAGCCTGCAGTCAGCCTCTGGTGAGGGCCGGGTCTCAACAGGGTTCAGTTTCCAGCCCTGCCACCTACCAGCTCTGGGTAACCTTAGGCAAGTTACCTAACCTTTCTGAGACTCCGCTCCTCAGCTGTAAGAGGCTGTTGTGAGGAGTAAACTGGGTAACTTAGGTAAAGCATGAGTCTGGCTCACAGAATACTCCACTGTGTGGTTACTACAGCTAAGATGTCTCCGGTCAGGGATTGGGGTAGAGGCTGGAAGCCCAGCAGACCTGGCAGGGGAGGTGACAGAGGAAGGACCACCTGTCTAACTCCTCTAGCTTATGTGCCTCCTGCCTCCTCCCCTCCTATGGGGAGGTTCTTTTGAAGGAATCCCCCTTGCTCTGGCCTAACACAGCTTCTGTTCCCTTTCTCTCTCTGTGGAGTCATGGAGTCTCAAGCTCAGCATTCCAGAAATGGAAGTAGAAATGCTCAACTTCCACTGGAGCTCAGGGTGCTAACTCCCACTGCCCTTTGTATGCAGGGTCCAGCCAGCTGGGCTGGGGGCTCCAAGCCTCTCTGAAGGGCCTCTCACTCAAGGTAAATGTGATGAACAACCCTTCACACCTCCTTGGTAGCTGGCAGTTTCTGAGCACTTCCTCATTTGTCATTTCCCTTGATCTCCCCAAACTAGGAGGTGGCCTCCAGGGACTTCAGCTGGGGACTCTCCATCAGCTTTTCCCACCTCCCCCCAACCTCTCGTTGACCTCCTTCCACTGTGCCTCTCTCCCTGTAGGCTCCTGCCTCCTTTCTGCTGTCCACACTTCAACAGGCGGGACCTTTCTAGACTGCAAATCTGCAAAATGGATCACAACACTTGACTGCTTAAAAACTTTCAGTGGCAAAAGCCAAACTCCTTGGCTTGGCATTCAAGGCCTGTGTGATGTGCCCCCTCACCCTTCCTCTTCTGTATAAGTTCTGGCCACCCCGTCTTACACATTCCAAGCTCTAGTCACTCGGAAATAAAGGGGAGGGAAGTGAGGGAGGTCAATTCTCTGCATTCTTCAAGTCTCTGTTCAGTGTGCTATCCCCCAGGAAGTCCTCCGTCTGGTTCAGTCGATCCCTCCTTTCATGTTAACACGCCCTTTGTGCATAATACTGTCATTATCACCATTCTCTTTACCCATCTTTTTTTTTTTTTTTTTTTTGAGACAGAGTCTCACTGTGTTGCCCTGGCTAGAGTGAGTGCCATGGCGTCATCCTAGCTCACAGCAACCTCACACTCCTGGGCTCAAGCGATCCTACTGCCTCAGCCTCCTGAGTAGCTGGGAGCATGCCTAGCACAGGCATGTGCCACCATGCCCGGCTAATTTTTTCTATATATTTTTAGTTGTCCGATTAATTTCTTTCTATTTTTAGTA